AGAAGAGACCGGTAAACCATGAAGATGAAACCATATGTATTTAGAAGGATCAGGACAGATCACTATATCTCCAGATGTCCAGGAACCAACATGAATCTGATTCACCTGTCTCTAGAGAAGTAATCCTGATGGCAACCATGATCCTGTCAGTCATCTTAATGATCGATTCTGCTCCAGTATACTCCATCCAAAGGGGCCTATATAATGATCCCACACGTATTCTGAACAGGCCCTCAGTTATTCGGACTCAGTGATAATAGTCAGCGATTATTGGCTGTGGGTGTGTGCTGCTCCCCTTGTGCCAGGTTGTTGAGAAATGTAAAGGGTTCCTCCTGCATCCGTATGGGCCTTCAGGCATGTGGGATAGATCAGGTAGCAGGGGATGTTTTTTGCTTTGATTGCTTGCAGCGCCAGGATGAGCTGTTTGCAACGTTTGGCTAATTCCGAACTCGTATCAGGGAAGAAGTTGATTTTTATATTGTCAAAGCAGATATTTCCTCTCTTTTTAGCCAAAGCCAAAATTGTTTCTCAATCTTGAAACCAAAGTAGATGAATCAAAATGGGTCTGGGGGTGATACCGAGGAGGTTCACCTGGTCTGGGCTCCATAGTCACAGTCCTGTGTGCTCGTTCAATTTCCACTTACAGCCACTAAGCTGATGTGTCTGAGCCTTCAGCTCCCAGCACCTCCAGTATCCAGCTTGTGAAGAATTTCATGGGGTCCGTGCCCAGAGCCTTCCTTTAGTCCAACCATTCGTACATTATTCCTTCTGCTAAGCTGATCGATTTTCTTTTTAAGGAATTCATTATCACTTTATAGCTGCTTTGTTAGCTGTTTGAGTTCACTTACTGCATCCTCAGTATCACTGATTCAATTCTCTGCCTCTGTTACGCTCGTCAGCATTTTATCCAAAGTAGCCTTCTCTCCACTGATGGAAGTTTGGAGCTGTGCCGAGTTCAAGTCAATTTTCTTCGAAAGAAGTTTTGTTTAATTCACAAATTTCCCTGAGTACAATTGGAAGCACTCCTAAGGACTGAACATCTTCTGCTTCACCCAGAGTTGAGCTCACAGTGAGAGTAGCCATGCCTGTCTCGCCTTGGCTACTATTAGCTTTAGCCACAACTTTTTTGCTAGCAACAGTTTTGTCGTCTTTCTTATCTTTCTTCCCGTTTTTGTTCCGAAGTTGTGAATCCATCCCACATCCATTGTCTTTTATGCTTTATTTGTCCACTCCACGGTTTGGTTTATTGTTGTTTATTCCCATATTAACATGGATAAGTTAGAGCTCAGGTCGAGCACGTCTGCTCAGCTACGTGGTGTGATGATTTCTAGGCAGGAGACCCATTTGGTGCAGGCAGGCAAGCAGGACTCAGGGAATAAAAATAAATAATTTATTGTTTACAAAATAAAGATGGCTGAGGGGGAGGCAAACTTACATAAATCATGGGACAAGATGTAGGATACGAGGAACAGGACACAAGGAGCATAACAGACATCACAGTGACCAGACAATGAGGGACGCAGGCAAACAGACTTAAATACACACACACACACACACACACACACACACACACACACACACACACGAGACTAACGCAGAACACCTGTGAAACACAGGTGCAAGCATCAGAGGGGAAGCAGAAAAATATAGAACACTAGAGGGCGACAGAGACCAGAGAAAGCACAACTCCTACAGTACCTCCCCCACAAGGACGTCCCTTGACGTCGCCAAGACCTCCACACCCCCAAAACGTGGGTGGGAGGAGGGGGGAAGCCAACAGGGAGGAGGGCACTAGGAAAAAAAAAGACCCGAGGGGAACGAAGAACTGGACAGGGTACACCAGGGGCACGGTACAACACATGGAAACAAAAGGAGGTCAGAGTTCAGGTGGGGAACTGTGAGATTGTCCAAAAAGCAGGAACAGGTCAGACAGGCAACCATTCACCAGGCCGAGGCCAGTCAGGCAGGCAGCCGAGAGGTCGTCCAATAGGCAGGAACAGGTCGGGCAGAGCAGGAGTGAGAACCTCATCAAGCGGGTCAACGGCGAGGAGCTCTTCTGCGGCTGGATCGTCTGGGGCTGGATCTTCGGCGGCAGTATCTGGAGCAGGAGCGAAGTCCGTCTGGACCCCCACGGAGCAGGAGAAGTGAAGAGCGTCCGCCGGGACCCCCACGGAGCAGGAGAAGTGAGGAGCGGAGTCCGTCGGTACCCCCTCGTTGCAGGAGAAGTGAGGAGCGGAGTCCGTCAGGACCCCCTTGGAGCAGGAGAAGTGAGGAGCGGAGTCCGTCGGGACCCCCTCGGAACAGGAGAAGTGAGGAGCGGAGTCCGTCTGGACCCCTATGGAGCAGGAAAAATGAGGATCGGAGTCTGTCTGGACCCCCATGGAACAGGAGAAGTGAGGAGCGTCCGCCGGGACCCCCTCGGAGCAGGAGAAGTGAGGAGCGTCCGCC